TTTCTTGGTAGGATGCTACAGCTTTCTGCTTCAGCTGTCAACATTGGTGTTATATTGGATTTTCTTGGGTCTAGTGGAGGCAGCGCTCTAGTGAAAGTGAAAGGTAATAGTTGAGTGAAAAGAGGGATTTTATTTTAAAAGCATTGTTGAAGAGTTGATGCTCATTCTCACCTTTGTGACTGGTTGCTTTGACCTAATATAGCTCATAAGAAATTCTGATGAGTCAGGCCTGCGATTCTGGGAGAAGGCATAAGAATGTACAACAGTTTTCTTGCTTTGTTCGCACTTAATTTTTTTAATATCTCTACCTTGATCTCACACAAAGCATTTTGGTAGGAGAAGTTGGTGAAGATCAGTGCTATTTAAACAGCAGTAAAACAACGCTTTGGCCTGACTTCACTCTCAACCAAGCACACAAATGCTAGTGGTACTGCAGCGATGCTATCGAACCTCTCTGGGAGGAAGCTGTGGCTGCAGAGCACTGTTTCTTTATTACTGATTTTGTGGTGATTTCAGCGAGGCTGGTATAGCTGTAGCTGATACGCCAAAAGACAGTTACTGAAATGGCTTAGTTCTGTGGCTGATTCTGCTAATCCCTGAGCAGTACAAAAAGGAGACCTAGATTCGCTCTAAGCAAATTAATGCCAATTGAAATCACCACAATAAGGGAATTGGCACTTCAGTGGGAGAACAGCTCAGGACTAGCTTTACATGTACTGAAATCCCAAATATTTTCCTGTGAGTCTGTTGTAACCCAGCTCTGGCAGATTTTGCTTTCTCCCAGCACTGTTTGAATCTGGGGCAAAAGGAAAAGAACCCAGTGCTCACAAGATACTTTGGATATATGCATATGTATATTACTTACATATATATACATATATAATATATATATATATATATGTGTGTTTTTTTTACTTGTATTTACCCTTGGGAGCTTTTCTTTAGATACTCTCACCCATAAGCACTTTTTTCTCCTGAGTTTTACTCATTCTCAGGAGGTGTGCAGACAAAATACATACTTGGGTGGCAGGGAAGTTCCCTGTGTGTCAACACCGGAGTCCCTGTTATCATCCAGAGAGATGTTTCATATCTTCCTGTCTCAGAAGAAGGTGTATGCATCACAAACTCCAAGGCTTGAGCATCACAAAATGGAAACAGACCCACAAAACATTTGTCCATCACATCCCTAAGTCCTGCTGCCTGCCCTTTTGACATTTTTTACATAGCCTGTGTAAATGGGGTACCCCTTGCCAAGAAAGCTTTGCCGGTGACCACCTCACCATGACAGCAGAGATCAAAACATGGTGCAGGTGTATCCCCAACTTAGATTGCCACAGGGCTGAGGAAGATTCACCTGAGCTCTGGTGGCAGGACCCACCGTGGTTGTGATCACACTGTTCTGTCTGGGGCTGGCAGCACTGTCCTGGGATGAGCATCTTGCTTTCTGTTAATACTTGAGGCTTTTTTTGAGAGTCTCTGGGCTTTAGCAGGAGCTTTTGAGCTCTCTGTCTGGGGCGTGGGCTAGAGAGGTCCTGAGAACCTCTTGAGAAGAAAGCCACACAACCACATCTGCAGTGCAGCTAGGGGTGGCTCTCAGGTCTTCTCAACCGTGTAGTCCAAACTCAGTCATCCAACAAGTCACCCTAACTGCTCCATTTCCCTCCCTGTTCTGAAGCTGCCCCATCTTCTCCGAGCAGGGGGAAGAGTTTTCAAAAACAAAGCCTCTGCATCTGGCTGTGGTCGGCAGGGATTGACCATGTTGAGGCAGACAAAGGAAAAGCCAGTACCCGAGCAGCCAGATGGCCACACAGTGCTGACAAATTCCAGGCCTGTTTGCCATAAAGCGTGCAGAAATGAGTACAAAGCAGTCAGAAATGCTTTGGTGATACACTTGTGTCGCAGTGCTTCAGCCGACCTGCAGCCACTCTTTCTGTCTCACCTCTGTATGCACTTCTGTCCTGTTCTCGCTCCTCAGAGGGGTGCTGGCCGTGGCTTCCTGACCTCAGCCCTTTGAAGTTTGATGTTCTGGTACCCAGCTGCCTCCCCTGCTGCATCCCAAACACTTGTGGCAGCACGCTGTTCTTTCAAGCACAGAAGGAGAGCAGGGGCTTGCCACAGTTTTGCACAAGCCCGTGTCTCCCTGCTCCAAGCCTGCCCCCTGTGTGTGTGAGCTCACTCCTGAGGTGAGCTGAGTCTGCAGGGCTGACGCACACCTCTGTGCCTCCATGGGAAGAACAACTCTTCTTTTTTTGGGGTCAGTTTTCCTTCTCAATGACGTTAATTGGTACCAGCCATCTGACTCACTTTTTCGTCTTGTTTGACGTTCAGGCAAATGTTTCCCTTTCCAAGGAAAATGCTTTTGTATAAGAGTTACATACTCAGAAGGTGAAAGAAAAGGCGCGCATGAGACACAAAACCACAAGGAGTGGCCCTGTATAATCCTCTGATTCAGCAAGGTTTAGGTGGTTTGTATCAGCCACTGGAAACGGTGATGTTGAAGCGCTCAGGATTTACACGTCTGCCTGCTTGCAGTGGTTGGTTGACCCCACCTGATGAGGTCAGCAGATGCCACTTCTGCTCTGGGGATAAGCACATCCCTTGTGATCCTTTTGCATTCCCTCTTCCTCTACTCAACATCAAGGGTGTGAGGTTGGAATTGCACCTCTTGGCCCTTGGGGAAACTGGTAGACCTTGAACTAAGCGGGTTAATTTGAGAGAGTGCCAGAGCTGCTGGTGTCCCTCTGCTTCTCATGGGTTGGCACTGAGCCTGGCAGGTGGCCTTCTGATGCAGAAGGTATCAGGAGCAAAGGAAACACCTTTGAACTGCACTTACCGTGCTTGCACAAAGCTCACACACAAGTCAGAGGTGGTTTATTAAAATGCTCTTTGAACTTGAGGTGTGCCAGGATGGCACCAACGGGAAGGAGAGCTGATGGTACCTGTGTCAATGTCAGAAACTAGAGCAGAGGTCTCAGATCTGCCTTCATCCTTTCTGCTACCACTGTGACATCTCCACGGTGGTGTCCCAGAGTGGTCCCATTTGGGAGGAATTCTTCCCTTGGCCCCAGCAGGGAGTTCCTCTTGGGAAGGTAGAGTGCTTTCCTGAGAGCACCCAGAGTGGTTGGTGCTTTTTGGGGACTGACAGTGGCTCAGTTATCAAGAGGTAACTCTCTTCCCAGGGAAGTCTGGGGAAAACAGGACCAGATCTGCAGCAACTCTTGTTGTTTTAAAGACAACTCTTCCACTAGAGTCCATAAAGACCTTGGGCTCTGCCTCCTGTTGCTCACAACTCATCAGCATCCAGACATTTGGCAGGGCCAAACACCTTCCCTGCAGCTCCCCTGCAAGTGCTCAGCACCCGGTTCACTATGCCAGGGGAGGATACAGGTAAGCCTCTTGTAAAAAAATAAAGGCCCAGCTTCGCGCCCTCACCTCCTGCTATAGAAGATGCTTCACCAGAACAAAGGGGCCAGGCGTGGCCATGGACTGGGAGGAGAAAGAGCTGCATCAGCACCAATGGCACCGTGCTGAAGAACCACCCAAACAAAAGGGTAAGTCGCTTTCCTCCCTACTGCTTGCATTGAGAGGGTTTAAAGGACGATGGAGGAGGTGGGCTGGTACCACAGTCCCTTGCTCCAGTTCCTCTTGGGCTGTTGACACCTTTGCAGAGGAGGAGGAGCACTGGTGGCACTGGGGTGGAGGAGCTCAGTCCTGCTGCAGCTTCCTGGACGTTCAGAGCAGCAATCAGAGTGCTCCAGAGCAGGCAGTCCTGTGCTGGGCTGGACCACTGTCAGTGAAGGGATGGCAGCAGGGAGAGGAGCAATCCTGTACTTGCATTTTAAATAGGTGTTTCATGTGAAATTAATTTATATATACATGTATGTGTGTGTATATATAAATAATGTTAATTTCAGAATTGGTTCTAATGCTTACACTGGCTTGAAATTTGCATGGTGATTTGAACTGAACTCATTGCATTATTAACCTCCCCGTTATTGGGGATAATCGAGAGTTGATGCAAGAAAGGAAAAACAAGATGATGACAGGTCCTCTTGCTCCTAGGACATTTTGGTGCCTGCTCTGTTACCAGCTCCAGGAGCAGCAATTGACTCGGGCACCTTTTGGCATGTTGCTCTTGCCTGAGCTGATGGAGCGTCCTTCCAGCAGCGCTGCTGCTTCTGCTGAACCTAAGCCAGGCTCGAGGTGTGGTGCAGAGCCGCAATAATTCAGCCTTCACAAGCTAGGGCTGAAGAGAAAGCAATTTACCCACTGGCAGGTCCAAACTTAAGAAACCAACTGGGAGCAAAAGAAGTGAAAGTGCTGTGATCTTTTTGCATGTCTATCAGTAAAAAGTGGGTAGGAAAGGAGATGTGCTGTTTGTAATGTCTTTATCACAATGACCAGAAACAACAAGTTCAATTTTCTGTTTAACAAAGCATTAGTTTTCCAATGCAAAAAGACTGTAAAAAAAATTTACATAATAATAATAAAAAAATCACCAGTAGCAGTTTTATTTAATATAATTTTAATTAAATGCCAGGTTTTGTCCAAATATATAGTGACAGAAGATGAGGAAAACTGTTCACCTAAGTAGTAAATACATCATTCATCTCTTTTAACATTAAAATATATAAATTAAAAATCTGAATAAATATAGAACACAAAATTGCTTAAATAAATTTATAAAAATAAATGTATTCTATAAATTCATAAATACAATTTGCTAGTAATCAGAAGTACAAAATCCGTCTGCTGAAAATCAACTTCTCTTTTGGAAAATAATTACAAAAGAAAAATATAAATAACATGAAAATCACTGAAATCGTGCCTTCCTATTTGCTAATTGATATCGTGACTGGTCAATTAAATCACTCTGACTTAAATCAGTGCATCCTTTTGATATACTGCTGCAAATAAAACATTATAAATATTTTTTATAATAAATAAAATCAATAACTTAAGACATTCATCTTTTAAATAGTAAACTAAACTAGAGTATATATTTATGATCTACAGGATAGTAAGCACATTATTAACGTTGTCCCTGGCATCAAACTGGTCACAAGTACTGCTAGGTACGTTCAGCCAAAGCTCTCGTATCCTACAGTTACTGTTCCAGCTTGGCATATTACATTCCTACTGCAGAGTATATTTTTGTTGCATTTTGCATAAATTGCTCATATTTCTGTAAAACCAGCCAGGTGTACCTCATCTTCTTTGCTGCTTTCATCCCCCCGAACTGCTCGCAGACCTTCTGTGGAAGATCCTTGCTCCTGCAGGTGTAAGGCACCTCCCGTTCGGTCATCGTCACGTTTAGCTGGATGACACTTGCGTTCAAAGCCTGGGTGAAATTCTTCCCACAGATTGCTTCCGGGTCATTTCGTATGGTTTGCAAAATATTGTAGAAAACGTGCATGCAGCAACCTGCATCCAGAGGTGGGCATTCGGGTATTTTCTTCACCATTGCTCTGACTTGGAGGTCAGCAGTTAGCCAGCTTAAGGTTCTCGGTGTTACAGTGCTGCATGCGTTCTGCAGGGGAGGAAGAGGAGAGAGAAATCGTTAAATCTTTTGGTTTACGTCTGTCCTGGTAGTTTCCACATGAGACTGTCTAGGAGCGTACACACCTATTTTTCAGCTTGCGTCTGCTTGAGGTTTTTTTGTTATTGTTCACCGGCTGTATTAACACCTACACTGCTTTATCAAGTAACTATTATACACTATCTGTGGCTATGATTGCGCAGCACTTTCTGTCTTAATAACCTGCTTGGCATTGTTTTCAGCTTTCCTGAGTCTTTTTTGTTTTTAACCATATAGGTAAAATTTACTCACGTAACACATTTGCTGTGACCAGAACAAACCTGTTTCAGAAGAAATGGTTTTGATTTCAAGAATGAATTCAGGGGAAATGCTTTATACTGATTTTTATCAGCGTTTTCTTGGGAACACGTTCCCAGGCATTGAAATTTGCCTATGGTATTGACTTTCAGATTCAGTGAACATTCTGCTGTCTCCAAGGAAATGCAAGGCTGAGCAGGATTTTCTGCAGAAGTGCTCCTGACTGCTCTAGCATTAAGGTCAGACTGAAGAGGAAGCCAGTTCTCTCCATCTTTCCAGTGATCTGACTGGTGTCACCCCAAAAGCTGCCTGCTTCAAGCTCAACGTGACTCAGGAAACAAAGAAAAATGCGTGAGACCACAGTTGGCACACCCAAGCTGTCCTAGACATTGCTCCAACTCTGTCCTAAAATAAGACAACGCAAAGGCTTTCCTTCTGTATGGAATACAGAGAGGTGCCTCTTTGAGGTTCTAACCCAACTATTTCTTTTCTGATGGTCTTCCTAGTATTTCGTAACTAAATCAACAGATTCATTCCCAGACACAGGCCCAGCAAATGCAAAATATTACACTTACGTAGTTTTTAAACAAGGTAGTTGCTTGCTTTTCTAGCACTAGGAAGGGCCTTATTCTGGAAGTAGAATGCCTCTGCCTCTGTCCTGTAGTAGTTTTGCCATCTTCGGATGTTGGTGCCAAGGAGACCAAAGGAGCCAGTGAGCAGAAGAGGAAGATTACAAATCTGGTGATTTCTGCATTCAAATGAAGAAAAGAAAAAAAAAAATAATACAGTGAGTACAGCCTCAGGCATCTACGCCGTTTTTGCAAAACTTCCTGGTTCTGTGCAGCGTGCTGACTTTCTAAAGCAGAGAGATTTGAGCGGCTGAGCTAATGACGAGCATCAACCAACGCAACCTTACGGCACGTCCAAGTGGCACCCACCTGTCTGGCGTTTCATGGCGGGCTCAGGCGGCGGCTGGCTTGGCCGAAAGCTGGTGGGATGTCGGCGTTCAGGCTGCTTGGTGGCTGGAGTGCTGCAGCTGGGGACAGCCGAGCTGCGTTTAAGTACAGCGGGGTTTTGCGTCAGTGGCTCCCCCATGTTCTCCTGCAGATGATGGTGTGGGATTTTTTTTCTTTTTTGAAAGATTACATCAAAAATTGGTTCAAATGCGTCGTCACTGATTGTGATCTAGCGTGCAGTTTCAAACTGACACAGATGGTGTCCCACATCGTCTATTTGACTGGGAGTGCAGGACTCTTGGCTTAGCCATCCCATCTAAATCCCTGGGAGCTCCAAAATGTAGGACTTAGAACATGAATTGTGTTTTTTGTGGTTTTTGTATTTTTTCCAAGCATGATGGAGCACGTAAGCACGCACCTGGGTTGTTGAAGCCAGCAACCATCTCCTGCAGGGGCCAGTGTAAGAGTGGGCTAATGGCAGTGGAAAAGCCACAAGAGGCTTCCAGATGAGCATATGTATCCCTCTGCTGGATCTCTGTAAGACCCCATCCCACTGGTGTAACACCCAGTGCACCCCATCAGCGGATGTCCAGGATCCACCTCCTCAGCTCTCACCCTTCTCTAACTCTGCCGAACTTGTTTTCTCTGTGTCCAGTTGCTAAAAGGAGATTCTCATACACAGCAAAACAGAGAAAAAATGTTCCTAGGACTCAGAATTATTTGGGGGTATCACGGAGAGAGGTGTTTCTTTGTGCAGGGTGCTCTTTCAGACAATGGTGAGTACGGACAGCTCCTTCCAGGTAGAAGAACCGTGCTGAAGGAGCGCTTGTTTGGAAGCACTGAAGAGCAGAGGGATGCAGCTGCTTAGAACCCCACCGTGTGCTACGAGGTGTGTGGATGACATGAGTTTGCACATGTAGGCACACGTTGGGCACCAGGCACTGCCCGTCCCCTTCCAGACCCTGCCACCCATCGCAGTGGGGATCACTCCTGGACTGTCCCTGCCACTACAGCAGTACAGGAGAAGCTTTCAGCTCGGCTTTTCCCCAGAATAAAATTCAGCCGCTGGCAATGCTGTTTTAAAGAATTTCCGAAAGTTTGACTTAATTTTCTGCCGAACCGAGGGTAGTGGCTTGCCTGGTTATTCCACTTTGAGCCATGCCGCTATCTCTTGGCGTGTGCATGCTCCGCACATCCTTTCCTATCTGTGCAGCTGCAATAAGCTGCCGAGCTGATAAGGGAGCAGATCAGTATCCGTCCTGCAAAACCCAGCGCGAGTGGAAGTTCAGTGTTCCACCACGCAACCACCAGACACCACAGAGCATCTGCAATTTACTTGGTGAAGTTCTGCTGACACGAGCTGCTCTGCAAGCTCCCTAAAGTGGAATTTGTCGCTATCATCTCCACACCTATCGCTGGAAAAAACAGATAAACCCCTGAGTGGGGAGACCTGGGTCTGACCTCAGACAGCGCTGGGGCTTTTGCCCCTGGGCTCAGTGACTTTTTCCAAGAGCGGGCACTGGTACTTTTAGCTTTGAACTTTGTTTTCCGATGGTCTTGCGGTGCTGTGGCAGCGGTGCCCTCTGCACCAACAATCGGGGTGCTTTTACTGAGCACATGACTGCTTCCTCCCTGAAACTCGAGTGACTCTCAAGATGTAGATAAGTGAAATGGCAAACGCTGTGCTGCAGGTCCTTGGCCAGGGGACGGGGCTGATGCTGCACCTTGTAAATGCCGCCCACTCTTTCCCTGGTGGGGAGCAGCCTTCAGATCCCAGAGGGAGACCGGTAAAAGCCTGGGATTTATTCCCAACCTGCAGTCCCATCCCACGCCCCCTTCACGGCCCCACAGAGCCCGGTCCCCAGGGCATCGCGTCCCCGCCATCTCCTAGCGACAGGGACGGGTGCCAAGAGCCAGAGAATTCCTGGATGGCGGCGCCTGGGCCCCGCAGCCTCTCGGCTGCTTTTCGGGAGCACCTGCGGCTCCTGGGCCTGCGGGACTTCCCCTGCGGCCTTGGCAGCTGGGTAGGGGCTGGGGGGCACGGTGGGATGGGGTGGGCTCCACAGGGGGCAGGGGGTCTGTGGGGTGCTCACTGCCTCTCCCCTCTCCCTCTCCGCAGAACAAGTCCCGCTTCAGCGCACGCACGAGTCCCTCGGGGCAGGAGGAGGATGAGGACCTGCCGCTGGGCGAGGAGAGCCCCCAGGCTCTGATGGAGCTGCTGAGAGACCCGCACAGCCCCTGGGCCCTGCCACCGGGCTGCAGCCCCCAGGACCAGCAGCTGCGGGATATGGCTGTGCAGGTACCCCAGCTTGTCAGTGGCACCCGCATCCTCCAGGTCTTCAGGTCCCTGCGGATCGTCGGCAAGGACGTAAGTGCAGGCTGGCAGGCAGGGACGGGCTGGTGCCCACAGAGCTGCCCATCTCCAGGCCACAAATACACATCTGCTGAGGGGGAAAACATCCTGGGAAAAGTTTCCCCAACCCGGGGTCTCCCCAGGTGCTGCTATTGCAGCAGGGATCGAGCTGCTGGCAGCCCCACTCGGTGTGTTACACTGATCCATGCTACACGTACATCACATGGATCAACACCACATCTCTGCGTCACCTTGACCCACATGACACGAGGTGGTTCAAGGTCACGGTGGCCAAACACAGCTCTTCGTAGGTAGAGGAAGTCGACGAGGATCTGCTGCAATTACAGCACCTGGAGGAGCTGATACTCTGTGCCAACCAGATCAGCAGGGTAACCTCGGCCAACCTGCCCCGGACACTGAAGGTGGGTGAGCAGAGCCTTGTGACAGTGGGATCGGAAAAAGATCCCATGTGGGAACACTGCACAAGCTGAGCAGCTCGAGGGTGTGCCAGGAACTGCTCATTGCAAAGGGTGTTTGTTGTTCCCTCTGTCCTGGGCAGGTCCTGGAGCTCTGCTGCAACGCTGTGGCTGATCTGCAGGAGCTGTGTGCTCAGCCCCCTCCGCAGCTGCAGCACCTGGGGCTGGGGTACAACAGGCTGTGTGGCCCCTCGCAGGACAAGTACCTCACTGCGGACTTCTGGTAATGCCACAGGCTAGCTACTGGGAGGTGGGCAGATGGGGACAGATGCCCCCAAGCCATCGAGATGCCCTGCATTAAGAAATTGCAGCCCTTCAGCAGGGTTTTTTTTTTCTCTGCCTCCAACACCCCATCAGTGCAGCGTGGCTTGTCTCGGTTTGCTGCCTTCTGTCTCACACTTTGATGTAAGCTTGTTGGGGCAGGGTCTGGCTTTGCTCTTCCCAGTCCCTGCTGGTAGTCTTCCCTGGGGAAGGGGGTAAAGCTTAGGCTGTATCACTGAAGGATGCAGTGGGGTAATTAATGGATGCTAAAGAAAAAAAAGGTTTTGAGTTATGGGGCAGGCTGGCAATGGACTATGTGAGATTATGCTTTCGGATTCCCCACTTTCACACAATTTGTGCCACTGCAGGTTGTTGTGCTGAGGAATCAGGATTTCTGTTTCTTTTCTCGACTCAGGGCAGCAGTGCCCTCAGCTGGACGTCGTTTGCCTGCCCTTACTGCTGGATTCTCTCTTTCAGGCCAAATCTCGTCTCCCTTGACCTGAGCTTTAACAACTTAACAGAGCTGCTGGAGCTGGTCTCCCAGCTCTCCAGTCTGCAGAAGCTCCGGGTCCTGGTGCTCCAAGGGAACCCTCTGGCTCTCATTCCTGCTTACAGAGGCTTTGTTGTGGACGGCCTGCCCCAGCTGTCCGTCCTGGACGACATCCACATAGAGCCTGACGAGAGGCACCAGTTCCGTGGTTTGGCAAGGCAGCCAGGTGAGGCAGGCAGGGGACCCTGCAGCAGCACGTCTATAATCGAGGTGGTTTTAGCCTTAATCAGGTCCAAAGGTTGCAGGAACAACCCAACCCTGTCCCTGTAGCTCTGGCTTGGTGTCACGGCCTGCCCCGTCTTTGTTTGCCAGACACAGTCTGGTTTCATGCTGTGTGTTTCCCTCTTGAGCTGCTGAAAGAGGAACATCTCTGCTGACATTCCTGAACATCTGGGAAGATGCTGACGTGTGCTGCAGTGCCAGCACAAAGTGGTGCCTGCTCCAAAGTGTGACACATCCTAGTCTGGGACAAGATCCCAGGGCCTTGGGGGCACCAGGTTGAGGGAAGCCCCTCTTGGTGACCCCCCTTCAATGAATTTATGCACTGAGTGTGCTTTATTGAGTCGAAAATATTAACGAGGGAGGCAAAGGAACCAAGCCAGTTGTTTGCATGGCTTTGGAGTGACCCCATGTGGCTATGGCTTGTCACAGCACTTGCAAAGGATGGCAGGGAGGGATGCTGGGTGGTGGGACTTGGCATCCTGGAGGTTTCCTCTTGCTCCGTGCCTTCCTTGCTCCTCAGCAGGATTGTCTTCCTTTTAGAGCTGATAAGAAGTGAAGCACAAGTGGTTGTGAGCATTGGGAAGATCAAGGGAGTTCCTGATCCCAGCACTCTCCAGGAACTGGAGGTTGACACCAAGGCAGCGGCGATCACCTACAGCTACTGCGTGACCTACGAGTTCGCAGAGGGAGAGGAGGTGGAGGACGGTGGCAGCGCTGAGGTTGGTGTTTAACTGAGCTCCTGAAAACAGGAGGCTCTGGCAGGCCACAGCAAGGGGGACTTCACCTCCAGGCCAGGGACAAATTCCTGTGTGGCCAAGTCTGGCAGCACCCGTCTCTGCTGGCCGTGTTCCCTGTCCCTCTGGGTAGTCCAACGCTGCTCTGCACATGGGAGTGCATCTCTGGCCCTCCTGCAGGTGCCACCATGCAGCTCGCCTTGCTCTGTCCCTTCTCCTGATGACCAGGATGGGTTGGGGAATGGGATTTCAGAGGCAGTGCTGCTCCTAGGCCTGGTGCAGACACAGCCAGACGTGCCATGCCAGGTGATTCCTCTCTGTTCCAGGTAACAACAATTCATCAGAGTCCTGCGGTGGCCACCCTGGGTGTGGACTGCTCTGCAAGGGACATGGGGGAAACAAAGGGCCAGCAGGAGTCTGCAGCCATGGAGGAGCCCACGGCACATGCTGGTAATGAGGAATTATCAATCCTCCATCCTACTGGTCAGGGCAGACTCATGATGGGTAACAAACTGGCACCAGTCTTATCCTCTCCCCAGAAAGAAAAGGTCACCTCAATTTTTTTAATTTTTTTTTCCTGCGCAGCACATTTGTTTGTCACCCCTGGAAAACCCTGGGCAGACACCATTGACTGCAGCTACAGGAAGGAGCACACTGCCAAGGACTTGGTGGGGCTGAAGGGCTACCTGGCGGCTGGAACGATCGTCTCAGTGGTAGAGGAGAAGGTGAGTGTGTGGCAGGGCCAGATGAAAGGGGCAGGGAGAGAAAATAGCTGCTGGGGGGGGGGCAGCAGTGGCACCTCACTCCCTCTGGGAGGCACTCTGGGATGGAGGTGGCCCCAGGCCAGGTCCTTGGGTGTCCCAGTCCCTGCAGCGCCAGCTCCTCTCTCCTGGCAGGTACTCTCGTGGCCTGTTGATGCTGACTCAGAAGAAGGTGCAGTAACAAACAAGAAGGCAGGACAGGGATTAAAGAAAGATGGTGGCAAGGTAGGATGCCAGGAGGGAACAATGTCCAAAAACCTTCTGAGCTACAACAATAGTGATGGGGCAAGGAGGGACCTTCTCCTGTGCCAGTTTTGGGTGTCAGGGAGTATTTCTCCATCCCAGACCTCTAGACAAATTCCTCCCTGCTGTGGGAGGAGGGCAGCAGCTGTTTTACACACCCCTCAGGCTGGATACAGAGGTGGGCGAGTGGCTGGGCCCAGGTTACCTGCTGCCTGATAAAGGGGCCCCAACCCTCAGCTGACACTGATCCCATACCGGTGCTCTGCAGGGTCCCGTGCCCAAGGACAAGCAGAAGCAGAAGCAGCAGGAGAAGAAGAAGAAGAAGCAGCCGTGTGAACTCCGCAGCGACCCACCCATTCGGAGGACCCTGGGCTCTAGGAGAGTGAGCCTGGAGGCCCTGCTGGCCACTGAGGACCTGGTGGCAACTGTGTGTGACTTTGGGATCCTCATCACCGAGCGGCCGCTGCAGCCACCGAGTCTGGAGGAGAAAGTGGTAAGGAGCATGTCCTGGGGCAGGGCGGTGGGGACGGGCTGCTGGGGAGGGGTTTCAGCACATCCTGCCCTGCTCATCCGTCCCTCAGTTCCCTCTCCAAAAAATGGGGCTGAAATAGCCCTGCTGGAGCAGCCACCCACCACTGCTGGCATTGTTATTTGAAATTGGCATTATCAGTAAGTGCTGCTACTTTTTGTGGGCTTATGGTAAGAAAATAGGTGAGTTTATCTTAATTTCCAAGAATGTGAAAGCAACCCCTCACTGCTTCCACTGATCCTCTCTCTCTCAGCATGGCAACGTGCACCAGCTGTCCTGACACTTTGTGTTTCCTGGAGTCTCTTCTCTTCTCTGGGCAGCCCCTCTGCTGTGCTCCCGCTTCCTGTCACCACTTTCTTTGGCCCGTTAAATCCTGGTGCCAACCCAGGCGGTGATGACTGTCACAGGACTGAATGTGGGCACTGAATTTCAACACCGCCTGAGTGTGGAAACGTCTCTCTCCACAGGACAAGAAAAAAGGCAAAGAGAAGAGCAAAAAACTGAAAGCAGAAAGTCAGGCCAGCCGGAAAACCACAGCGTCTGCCAAAGGTGAGAGAGCTGGAGCTGGCTGGGCAGAGAGCAGCGTGTGCAAGAGCAAACACCAACGGTGCCCAGCCCGGAGGCAGCCGCAGGTTCCCTGCCACCCTGCCAGCTCTGCCACACAGGACGCTTACTCACATCCTGAGCTTGGGGCTCTGAATGCTGTCATTGAGGCTGTGGGGGTTGTAGGGCCAGGCACACGCCCTGGTACACACATCGTGGTGTGGGCAGCTGTCTGGGATCCATAATAAGGTCCTCATCCATCTCCAGGTACTTTGAGGAGGGGATCGGTGGGCTTTCCAGCTCTGAGCCCAGGTGCTCAGCCTGCCCAGGAACAGACCCCACTGCTGCCACCCCTGCAGACACCACCCCAGCCCCTAACAGGCATCCCCTGCCTGCCCAGCACGGAGCTCAGGCTTTGCTCTGTCAGCACCATTGTTTAAGCCACTTGCGGACAGAGCTCGCCCTTCCTCTTGCAGGTTATTTTTCCAGCACTCTTGTTTTGACTACAAAAATAACAGTGCCAGCGCGCCAGAGGGGTAATGCAAGAGCAGGAGGAAGTGGGGGAGGTGGCTCAGGGCGATGCCAAAAGTTGCTCAGGGGTTGAGGACAGCATGGAACGGGCTAGGCCCCTCTCCCCAGCACCACCGGGAGCTCTCAGAGGAGCCCCGTGTCCCTGCTCTGGCCTCAGGTTGAGTTGCTAATTTAACAGTGCAATTAACCCCCCTTCCCCAAGAGCTCTGGCTGTTTTCTGTGCACCCTCACCCTGTCCACGGGAAGGACTTCAGACCCTGCAGTCCTACGCTGGCTGTGCTCGAGGAAGCCTGCCGGCCTTCCAGCTACCCAAAAAGAAGAAGAAACTCCTTGGGTTATCACAGCGTTTGTTCCCCACCACGAGATGCTGATTTGCAGTGCATGCTCAGCAGCTGCTGAAGCAGGGAGCTGCTGTCCTACGACCGCCTGGTGCTTTTTTCTTCCTTTCCACCCCAGTGCCTGTGGTCAGTTTGTGTGTAGCAGCTCTTCTCTCTATCTTGAGTGAGAACAACCCCCTTCTGCTGGGGGCTGTGTGGCTGAGCATGGCGTTGGGTGCACAGAAAACAGCTGCCGCCACAGAAAACCCCAAGTAGTCAGCGACTCGAGTTCAGCTTGGCCCTCCCAGCCCCCTCTTGCAGGTGGGGGATGACAGCCACAGCCCCAGCCTGCAGCACAGCAAGATCTCAGGGTGCATCTCTCAAAAGACACGTCAAAAATCTGCCCCACGGTTTGCTACGCCCAATACCAGCAGCATCCCGTGGCAGCATGCTCTGCTGTGACTCATGAGTCTCACACACAGCCCGACCACAGCCGGGGAGGCGAGAGCGGCCGTGGGGGCTGGTGGGCCACTCAATTGTCACCGCAGCACGCAGGTAGCATCTTCCTGTGTCACCAAAGCGTGCTCTGGTCCTTCGGTGCTCGCTCTCCGTTCCCCTGGAGCTGCAGCAGCGGCTGCACCGCGGGGCACCGGGGACGCTCCCGGCCCTTGCAGCCGGGAGCTGAGGCTGATTTGCATCCCTCCGTCGGCAAATGCACACAAATAATAAGTGCTCTCAGGGAAATCGGGATCCCTTCCAGGCGGCTCAAAGGGGAAAGGCAGCAAGCTTTGTCTCGAGCAAACAATTCGCCCAGACATTGAAGGATGCCTTCGGAAGTAGTCTCATGTAGGTCTCCTTTACCTCGCGCTTGATTTTCCAGGATCCTTGGAATGATTTATGCCTGCATCGTTCTTTTTTCTTGGAAATTACAGGGCAATTTCACTACAAAAAGCAAAATTGCACCCAGATTGATTAACTGCTTAAAGATTGGGCTTAAAGAAGAAGCTGGGCTTACCACCCTAACTCATTTTCAAGTGGATTTTCCTTTAGGGCCCGGCAGTCGGTGCTAACGTGGTGGGCACAGCCCCCTGCACGCAGCTGCTTTTCGGGCGATTTATCCTACAAAGTCCAAGGCTGATTTACCACTTTCTCCAGGAAAAAGAAAAAACAAAGACCCCACTGAGCCGGAGGAGGGCCGAGGGCTCGAGGCAGTGCCGCTGACAGTGGAATTCCAGGTACAGCTGCTGCGGTGGCCCTCGGCTGCTGCTCAGAGCCCGTGGAGCACGGTGGCCGTGGACAAGGCTCCCTAAGGCGGCCGTGGCTGGAGCGAGCGACGGAGGTCAGTGAAATAAAGCCCACGGGGACACTGCTCGGCTGCCGGGGCTGCTAAATCGCCAGGGCCGTGGGATGGAGCTCAGTGGTGGGTGTGCAATGTACTGGGGGGACTGGGGGTACAGGGAGTGGGAATTGGGGGTGCAGTACGCAGGGGGAGGGATTGGGGTGCAGCATAGGGGGGGAATTGGGGGTGCAGTGTGCTGTGGGGGGGGTGAACTGGGGGTGTAATGTGCTGTGTGCGTTGGGGATTTGGAGGTGCAATGTGCTGTGTGTGGGGGGGAATCGGGGGTGTGATGTACAGTGGGAGGGGAGGGATTGGGGGTGCAACGTGCAGTGCGTGCAGGGGAATTGGGGGTGCAACTTGCAGCAGGTGGGGGGCAATTGGGGCTGCACCGTGCGGAGGTAGAGTTGGGGATGCAGCGATCGAATCTGGGGCGGGGCCGGGCGGGGCGGCGGCAGCAGGCAGCTGCCGGTGGGAGGAGGAGAAGAGGAGGGGAGAGGAGAGGACAGAAGGAGCCCGGCGTGGCCAGCGCTGCCCGGCTCCCGGCTGGGCTCTGCCCCCGGGGCTGGCTCCGGAGCCCGGCCCCGCGCTCCCGTCCTCGCCGGGACCCGCAGCGGTGAGACGCGCCCCAAAACCGCGTTGGGGACGGGGGGGGGGGGGAGCTCGGGGCTGCGCCTGGCCCCGCAGTGCCGGGAACGGGAGGTGGGAGCGTGCGGCTCTCGGTGACCACCGGCTTGTCCTTCTGTCCTTCTTCGTCCCCACAGGGCCTGGATCCCGCACGGGACGTTGCGATGTATCCCAGGATTAAAAACCTGGCGCTTTATGCCTTGTCGGTCATGCTGCTGGCGTGTCTTTTTTACCTAAAGAGAGAGGCAAAGTTGGCAACGTCGTCAGCAGAGCAGAAAGTGGATGTAGCAAGTCGCAAACCCAAGTCTTTAGCTTTGGACAACGCCGAACCCAGTAAGTGTTTGCCAGACTTGACCCTCGCCAATTCTTCCCTCGCCCTCCCGGAGCTTCACCGCGTCTTCCTAACGTACAAACACTGCCGGAACTTCTCAGCGCTGCTGAAGCCTTCCAGGTGCAGTAAGGACACGTTCCTCTTGCTGGCGATCAAGTCTCCCCCGATCAATATAGAGCGGCGGGTGGCGATCAGGAACACGTGGGGGAAGGAGGGCTCCATTGGTGGCAGGCACATCAGGCTGGTGTTCCTCCTCGGGCGCTCGGAGGCCAAAATCCAAGCGCAGCCCCTGCACCAGCTGCTGGCTTACGAAAGCCAGGAGTTTGATGACATCGTGCAGTGGGATTTTGCTGACAATTTCTTCAACTTGACCCTTAAGGAGCTGCATTTCCTCCGCTGGTTCATGGAGGACTGTCTGCATGCCAGGTTTGTGCTGAAGGGCGACGATGATGTCTTCGTCAACACTTACAATATCGTTGAGTTCCTCCAGGAGCTGGACCCTGAGCAGGATCTCTTTGTTGGGGACGTGATTGCCAACGCCCGGCCCATCAGGAACACCAAGGTGAAGTACTTCATTCCAGAGACCATGTACGGAGCCCCCTTCTATCCCCTCTATGCGGGCGGAGGGGGTTATGTGATGTCTAGAGCGACAGTGCGCCGACTCCAGAGCACCGCAGAGGACATGGAGCTCTTCCCAATAGATGATGTCTTTGTGGGAATGTGTCTGGCAAAGATGGCAGTGACCCCAAAGAACCATGCTGGCTTTAAGACTTTTGGGATCCAGAGACCTTTCAATCCTTTCGATCCGTGCTTGTACAAGGAACTGATGGTTGTGCACAAGCTAAACCCCACTGAGATGTGGATCATGTGGACGCTGGTGAAGGACGAGAGCATTCGGTGTGCGGTGTCAGTAACACACCCCTACAGAACCGGTTGGAAATGAAGCTCCTGATGAGCACAGCAGGATCTTGGCTGGTGACGGATACAGGGTGCTTAAACTAAAAATCAGGTTGTGGTAGAAATGTGTCCTCTACTAACAGGCTGTACGTGAGCCATAGGGTTTTGTTTGCAGTCAGTCTTTGTTGGTGGGTTACTGAATTGTCAGGGGAAGGGGACGGGGCTGGTAGCTTGGTGAGACGCGGCGCAGGGGACTCGGCTCGGTTCCTCCTGGCCATGCTGGGGCCCAGGGAGGTCACAGCTGCTGCAGGTAACGTGAATGAGGTGCTACCTCCTGTGGAGATTCTGCAACACTGAGGCTGGTGTCGGACTGCCAGCCTAATCCGGTCTCTCCTGGGAAAGGTAATGATGACTAACAAGTGACGGAGCACTTTAAATTATTTCTAACCTTTTTAGTCAAGGCAAGGGTAGAAGAAAGGCCGGTGTATGCTGCTGCATCTGCTGCAGCTGCAGCTCCATTGTCCCAGGCCAGCAATCCCACAGGTCCTGTGGGGCAGCAGGAGAAAAGGAATGGAGTGTGTGTGGGGGAAAGCCTTAAAAATGTATTGCCTTAACAGCACAGTAATCCGAGGGATTGGGCTCCAATTTAAGCCCTTTGGATTTTACAGAAAGTTACTACAAGTTTACTTGCACTAGAAGCTTTTGCACAAACAATTTCTGATCTAGTTTGAGCAGAAATATGTCCTGAGAGGTAGTTAAGTCCCAGTGGCTGCAGCTTTTCATGCTGCGTGGGAGGTATTTGGGGTTTATTTGCTTCATTTGCTTGTTTTCATTGGGTATAAATAAAATACAGTTCTGAAAGTATTCACAGGAATCTTTCTGGGTCTCCTGAAAGCTAGAACTAGGAGCCAAAGCATGCTGACGTCTGGTGATATTTGCATTAAGGAGTCATGGATATTAAAGAGTATATTAAAGGGTTATGAGGAAATGGAAACTTGTCACTTCTGTGAGCAGCTGCTGCTCTCTGCCCACGGTCCAGGCGCGATGCATTGACACAGAAGCCGTGATTAATCTCTTGAGTGCTCTGGAGTAACTAATTTGAGGACCAATCAATTCTGAAGCTGAGATTAGCTGACAGTTTATGAAGCTTCTCAGCCTTGCTGCCAGATGTGCTGTGTGAGCAGGCAGCGACCTGGAAGCTTAGAAAAATGTAAGGGGAATGAGGGTGTGCAATCACAGGAATCAGAGCTGGTTGTGTCCCAGCTGCTCAGTGTTCAGGGCCACCAGCTGTGAGCTGGAGCTTCCAGAGGTGCCTGGGGAGCACTGCCAGGAGTTCCTTGTCTTGGCTGCTTAGGCTTGGAGAGCATCCCGAGCCCCGGGGTGTGCCAGGCTCCCTGGGGAGGCTGCCTGCCCCGCGCTGCTGTGGGGTGCAGTACTGTACAGCCCGGGGCTGAGGGGTTCCTGGCAGTCCTGTCTGACAATGTATTTTCCTTGTGGCCTTGGCTTTCTAGAGCACCAGCTGTAGGTCAAGTTTAGCTCCACTGCGTGACTCTTACAGCACGAGTTGCCACTCTCACGGGAGCTGTTTCTGTGCTACATGAGTAGGTGTGCGTCTAAAAAAAAAAAAACCTTCCGTGAGCCTGTGTGCTCCTGTAGCAGCTGCTACTCCATCTCACTGCAGCCCTAGCAGTTATTAATCAGCTGTACCTGAGACACTACACGTAGTTTTAGACTAATTGGCTTTGTAAACGAGGTTGAGTATCGCGCAGCAAAGCCCTGCATTTCTCAGCACTGTGCCCTGGGCACCACTGTCTGTTCCAGAGAAGAGACTGGACGGAGCGGGCTTGGTACGATGTCAGCTGCTCTGGCAGCGTTTTTCTGATCCCCTCGCTGAGTCCAAATGCAAACTCAGGAACATCACACAGCGAGTGATGTCATGGCAGTTCTGGGCTTAAGTGCATAGGCTAATTCCCCTGCACGCAACTCTCACTTCTCAAGGAAGGTGCAGGGGGATCTTTTCCACCCCACCTGGGAGGTGCCGTGGAGCCACTCAAGTATTTCTTTCCCTTTTTGACTTGATTGCACTGACTAATTGCTTCCTGTCACAGCAGTTCAGATGCGTGGGGGTAGAACCTGTGTCAAACTGTAAAACAAGAAGTTGGGCTGCAAGGGGGGGGGGGGCAGGCTCTGAAAGGGGAAGAATGGCCGCTTCCCAGACTCCTGGGTTGATGTTCATCTTTCTTAAGCCATATCCTTGTCATGCAAGCATCTGAGAGGAGTTAGTGCAGCACTGTGACAGAAACATAGCCTGTATGTGTGTTTCAATCAGTGGCTTGGTGGTTCTTCAACTGCAGCACAGAACAAGCAGAGCAGATGCGGTTAGAAGGCTGACCTGAAGTTGCCTGTAGCTCTTGAGGGTGTGGCTGTGCCACTGCTACAACAAACTGGCACATGACAGTTGGGTCTTCCCCAGTGCTCCAGCCCAAAGGCGTGTTTGGGACCTTCTGACTACTGGCACAGCAGATGCTGGCATCTTCCTGTGAGCTTTGATTTCAGACCCTGCCTTCCCCCTTGGATACAGCAGCATCCAGTGAGCAGCAGGAGCAAGGAAAGTTGATGTTTTTTTGTTTGTTTGTTTGTTTTTCAAAGCTTTTACTATATAATCTAAATTTATGGTGCTGTGCAGCTGAGATTGCATTTGTTCAAAAGGCAGGCAAAAGGAGACAGAGAAAGGCTCGTGTTACAGATGAAAAAAAATTCCTAGTCAAGCAGAACTCAGTTTAGTAACAGCAACCTCACCACATGTAGTGCATCTGCTGCTAATTTATAGTGGAAAATCTTATGATTGCATGCCTTCTTACAAAAGGTGATGAATGGGGATTAACTGACTCAAATCAGCAGCGACAGAGTTCTAGCCAGTGCTACTGTACAAAGCAATCTCAGCTAAAGTTTATATTGTCTGTACAGCTAATTCTGCAAATTTCACATGAAGCTGTCAAGTTAGAAAATGAACACAGTGAAAGACACTTGCGGTTTTAAAACCTGCAGTGAAACATTAAGCTTACCAAAAGAGAGAATTCAGATAATTTTCCTGAATCTTGTGCTAGAAAGCACTCAAATACGTAAAACTCACTTTTGTTGCTTTATAAAGTCTGCAGCGATTGTCACAACTACTCTGTAACCACAGTACGTTGAAAATCACATCTTATGCTTCCTGAGGAAGGCAGCTGTTCTACAAGCAGCGACTCCTGGGTGAAAGAGACTGTTGGAGACTGTACTGCACTGCAAAACTTCTCCAAGAAGAGCTTGGGTAACTCCATCGAAAGTTTTCAGCTCAATAGCAAATGTTTTCCCTGATTGCAATTAAGTGCAATTAGATATAGGTTGTCAGACTCAACTCTGTTACAAAGTCAAAACAGAAAACAGCACTTAATCTCTTATCTATGTGGGCATACTTGAAAGGAAATGCACTTGCACAGTTTAATAAAGGTGTCTACTAACGTATCATTTACTTCACAGGTTAAAAATTATCACTTTTAAATACACGTCTTTGGCTGATACCTAGTTAGCCCCTATGTCAGAGAGCTCCCAGAAACACATCGCACCATGGGTAGGATCCTCCCGGCAGAGACAATGAACAACAAGCTATCCTTGATAGCAATTTTCACATTTGCATAGTTAAACACTTAAATAATCAAATCTATAATTATTACAAACGTGGTAGGCTACAAACAAGGTGAAGGCTTTTTCAGAGTCTTGGAATTGACTTGATTTGTAAAGCAAGCCTATTTAGGGGAAAAAAATGGAATCACAGGCTTATTTCAGCAGTTTCCCACTATCCACTTAGAAGTTTAGGACCCCAGGATTTCTGATCAATTCTCACGTACTCGAAGGTGACACTTCAGTTCTTTTCAGTCTTCCCGGAGATAAGGGTCTTCACCTGCATCCGTACTTCCTATAACACCCTGCGGCAATGAAGACTCCTCTCCTTGAGCTTTTATCAGCTCTTCTGTTTGAGCTTCAGCTAACTTCGTCTCTGCTTTCTGGGACAGCTGCCGCACTTCTTGCACTTGTGATTTCACTAGCTGGATGTGGCTTCGGGCTGTCACTGAGGCTTGATCTGCACCTGAAAAGCAGTAATTTAAATTCATTAGGTTAGAGAGCACTCAGCAAACCTTCAATTAAGGAAGCAACTGTCTGTAATTATCACCTGCTTTGCTAAGTGTTTTGATGGCTCTTGGGCTGTATTAATGCTAAATGCATTTACTGTTCATTTACCTCAACCAACAACATGCCGACCTTGAGATTTTTGTGTCCCCTTGAATTCCTCCAGCCCAAGCAGCTTTCAGCCAGCATCTGGTCAAATTGGATCAGGTTGTGCTGTTGGGTTTGAGAACTAAGCCCAGCCCAGTCACCGTGTACCGGGAACTTTCAGGCCTTGTCTTGTCATGGAACATCGACTGGAAAGCGTGGCACTGCTGAACATGGAAACCTGTTTTCCTGTGCTCCTACAGATTGTATGTCTTTTTCAATAAGAAATGTGCAGTTAGGCTGCCCCTGGATATTTATCTTTTTCGTCCTAATCTCCTTTCTCTGCTCCAATAGCTTTGCCAAGTCAGCTCATAACTCAATCTCAGAGCTGTCAAGTCTCTGCATGTTTTGTGGAAGTGTGTGTACAGGGAGAAAACAAAATTCCTATCGTCCCTGAGCGAAAGGCAAATACTCTCACTTCAATAAAAGTGAATTCAGCGAGGGGCACCTAAATGTTAGCTGAAAGATTCTCAGTATTTCTGCTTCTGCATACCTGATTGATACGCAGCTTCTGCTGCCATCTCTGAGAGACGTAACGCTGTCATCCAGCTGGACTCCAGCCTCAGGTATTCTTGCTGTTTTGTTGTCATCTAGGAGTAAAATAAAGTATTACTCAGCTTTATAGATGCGTATCAGAATGCTCTTCCAAACCGTTGTGAAAAGGTCAGCAAGTGACACAACAGCTTTCTGAGCAGCATAAATGAGGCAAGTTGCTGACCGAAGGGAGGTGATTGCTTACATCAACTCTGGCTCCTATCACCACCTGCCAGACTGCGTCTACTTCTTCGGAGTTCATCTTCCCAAGAAGATTTGAGTATTGCTTGTAGAGAGACACTAGTGTATAAACCGCCTGCAAAGGAATCATTTCACACAGTTACAGGAAAATCTGTAAGTCACTGATGTCGTCTCAGTGTTAACTTCTGTTAATTAGTCACAGAAATAAGAAAAGAAGTAACCTGTCTGTATTTAATCCCCAGTATATACAGCGGGTAACAGAATCGTTTAATAGTTCCAAATAGGTGCTTTGTTCTTAAGTTTACTGTTAATTTTAAAGATGTTGAAAAAAGGAAGGAGTACACTGACTCAAACTTTCATACTCCAGGAGTATGTATGCATCGTTCCGGGCTTTTTGGAATCCAGAGCATGGAACTGCCACTCTGATCTCCTGCTCTGAAAGCCTGCTTGTGCTACAGGAGTTCCTTGCACACAAATACACTAGTACTGCATGAAAAGCAGAAATATATGAGTACACTACTCACAATCACTCAGCTTACCTTCGTATACTCTGTCAATGCTTCAATCAACGCGTACGTTGTTTGAGAGAGGAGAGTGGAAGTGCTGTCTGTTACCAGAGAAACTGCTCTTTTAATCAGGGCATCGTTACTGAGAGAAGAGGAATTCTGTTTCTGAAAGACAACAAATTTGCATCATCTTTACCATGACATTGAAGTATACATTATTGTAACAAATAACGGTAAGCAAAAGCAGACTGTTAATTACAAGCTTGGACAGCCTAATTCTTAGTGGTGTTTCACCTTTCTCTGTAGAACAAGGCAACCTTTTTTAAGATGTTATTGAAGGTAAACCCCATCTTTCTCATTTCTGTTCCTTAACAACTATACTGATAACCACCTGTGATCCCTGAGAAGGAACGAGGATGGTACTAAGGTAAACATTAACTCGTACAACGCTAGGCAAGTGTTTTTGGCTAGAACTGTTTCCCCCGATCCTATCTCTCTCATGACATTACCTCAATGACCGGGACTGCACACAGCGCCGCTCCCAGCCCCACGCCCAGCGCCTGCTGCCATCGCCTGCTCCCTCCGGAGAGGCCGGGCTGTCTCCGGGCGGCCGCCAGCACGGGGAAGCCTCGTCTGCAAGCACAAAACACGGGGGTCAGGCACAGAAACAACGCGTGGGGCGGGTGTCAAGGAGGAAAGAAACGTGTGGGGGCTGTTCCAGGCAACCCAGTCAGGAGGAACCTTCCGTGATACATCCGTGTCTGACCCATTCTGCGAAACAGCCGCGTTTGCACATGAACAAGGTTGTTTAGGGTCCTGTTATTTAATTAAAGCTACAAGGAACAGAAGGCAGGCACAGTAAGCTAGTAAGCTGTTGGTCCCGCGAGGGAAGGCACGCATCTCGTGCGAACACGCCGTTAATACCCAATCGCGTTGAAAATTGGGCTTTAAAAACACACCGTTAGTATTCAACCACACCGAAAATCGGGCTTTAGGACGCGCTTATCGGCAGCAGGCGGTACCTGAGGAGCGAGCGGCAGCTCCGCAGCCAGCGCCCGGAGGCGGCCATCTTGGGACGGGTCGCGGCGGCGGAATCGCGTCACGCGCGCGGCGGCGGCGGGAGGGGGGGGAAATCTGCGCATGCGCAGCGTGCGCGCGAGCGGCCGTTGGTAACGGTCGTGAGGCAGCCGTTAGTAACGGTCAGCGGGGTGGTGAGGCCGTGAGGTGACTTGAGGGTCTGGTGGCCCTGAGTGGTCTCAAAACCTCCCGGGACGGCCTTAGAACTCTCAGGAATGGCCGCAAAAGCCTCGCCCAGCCCCAGCCCGAGGTACCTGCTGGGCTCCCGGCTTAGAACCAAGCGCGGCCCCTGTTCTTTGTGCCCCCGCGGGTGTTCTTCAGCTTTACTTTAGAGTATGTGGTGCTGCGTTGGCTTTGGGTGGTTTTGTGCCTGTGATAATCCCCTGCTAGGGTCTCTATAGTTATACACGAAAAGCCTAAGTCGAGTTTTCAATTACCTTTTTTTTTTTTTTTTTTTTTTTTCTTATATACTAGAAATTCCTGCTGTTCTCTGTGAGACACTTGACTTGTCACAGTTTAGCTTTAGCAGGGCACTGCTGTACTAGTCATATCCTTCAGCTGCCCCCATATTTAAAGTTGCATCCTCAGGAGTTGCCAAATGATAGCCCTATGGGTGGTGTGGTGTTGGTGCCCCCACCCCACAAAAGTGTACCTTGTAAAACCAGCGGAAACTTTGCACTGATTTGAAATGGCTTTTTTTAAGACTTAAAAAGCAATTACAAGTAATTTCTCCATCTCTCTTCCCACCCTCAGTGAGGCAGAGCTAGGCAAGGCAGGACTTGTTTATCTGAGATGTTGGTCACACACAAATTGTGTCGCATCCCTCCTGTCCTTCTACCACACTCAGCGGGCTGCTGTACCCTAGAGGTGGGCTGGGTGTGGGGTGGGACTCTCGGGACAAAGCTACTGGGAAGCTTTCAGATCTTCCAGGGAACAGGGACCAATGTCTAGGAGATAAAAGAATTGGCAAGAGCCACAAAGATCAGAAAGATGTATGTGTATAGATACATTTTTTTTTTTAATCTTTCCTTTTTACATAAGAAAATAAGATTATGCTTAGGCAGTAACAAAACAAAATGCTTGCAGAGTCGGTGCAGGAGGAAGGGACTGCCATCCTGTGCGCTGAGCGTGGAGCCTGATGCTTTGGGCCAGTCTGTGGCTGCCGGAGCAGAAGGGCAGCAGTCATTTAAGCACAAGGAAGTACGTCGTCCAGCCGGCGAGCAGCAGTGCTCCAACCAGCACCGTGTAGCTGAACAGCACGAAGGCCAGCAGCTCCCTCAGGACCTTGAGGAAGTGGATGGCAAAGGAGTCTGGCATGGTTCTTCCCAGCACCACAGGGCAGGTAAGGTGTCGGGAGCTGGCTGCTGCCTTGTTCTTCTGTGCTCTGTATGAAGGAGAAGCAAAGGGACAGGATGGGTTTTTCCCAGAAGGATGGTGTGGCTCTGCTGTAGGGAGAAATGGTTGTTTGGGAGGGTTAACAGCCACCCAGCCTCCTAAGCAAGTTGCTAATTACCGAAGTGTAAGTGTGAGGCTCGTCTTGTGTGAGCTTGTTCAGACTTTTCCTGGGTTACCAAGCTGTGTGCAGTGTTGAAAAGGAGTTTGGGATCTGAACAATGTCTCCAAATCAGGACTGGTAACTAAGCAAACTAAAATATGGATGCACACGTAGTGGTCGCTGTTGTGTAGCTAAGGACCGGTGGCCCCCGGTTCAGCCGGATCCTGATGCCTTTCCCCCGTGTCGGTGGCTGTGCATCCAGGAAGCTTCACAAGCGGAGTGTTCGCTGATGCATTACCACCAGTGTGTTCTGATAAAAGTGGTCAATTCCTCCAAGGAAGCCACCATTAATATTTAATGACATAATTGCATCTAATGGAGATACTGGCACAAACTGAGCCTTTTGTTTAAGAGTGAGGAAAACTCGGGCTTAAATACAAGTTTGCACAGAAAAATATTTCTGTCTCACCTTAAAAATAACCTCTAAATGGAAGACACAGGGTAAGATGTTTTAGAACGCGTCTTCCATCTGTGTTTTGAAGTCATATGAACACGTCACTTTAGAAGTTGCTCGTTTGTAAGTTTAATATAAAATCTGAAATTTCACAAAAGTTTTTGGCTCCTCAGACTTAAATCTGTAAAGGTCCAACTAAAAAATTCTGCTGTCTCCCTGACTTGCATGTTCTTTTTAATTTTGGTCACAACCATGCCTGACAAAATATTCCCAGTCTTGGTGAAGCACATATAGGGAATTTAAAAACAGATTTTTGGATAAAACTAACTTAAAAGGATTATGTCTCTTCTAAATAGTCTACAGCCGGTCAGAGTAAATTGAATTCCTGTTCTGCCACTTTGAATGCTTTTTAAAAAGCACGATGAAGAGTTCACAGTTTGATTAAAATTAAGTCATTCCTTTACTTTTACTGAGTTGGTTATTTCTTTCTAAACTCAGGTGCACGTAGACATTATGGGAGCTATTGCATTTTAAAACCAGCTATGGTTTCCCAGTTGTTCAAAGCATTAAACTTTGATATTTATTGGCTTTTTGAAACTTTTAATTGTCTAAAGTAGCGCCGACAAAGAAATAAATTGCTTACCCAGGTAGACGATGGGGTCTACTTCGTAAAGTTCCTATTCCTCTGGTTCTGTTCTGCAGCTGCCCCTTGAATTTCTGGCTCCTGGAAGGTTTGTACTGTAGTTTGATCCCCTTCTGAGCTGCTCATCCGGGAGGCAGGAGCGATGAGGCTGTATTTGCAGCCCGCACAAGGACTAATGCACTAGGTGTGGTCAGGACCAATTATTATATGACAGAGCGCCTTTGCGCGCTGCGCGGCACAGCAGTACAGAGCACTCCAAATAGCTCCCCTTCCCCGGAGAGCTTTTGTCAACGGCGTTCGGTGAGTTTAAGCACCATAGCTTTCCTAGTGCTGTCAGTCAAAACCTGCATTTGTTTAAATGTGCTTTTTTTCCCCCCCTCTAACAAAGTATTGTGTCATCGAATGCTTTTTATTGTGCAGTTCGGTTACCTGGAATACGGTTGTAGCTCTTCCTATGTTCTCTGAGAGCCCCGTGCTTCTGTGGGCTGCTCAGGGAGCAGGGTGCTTGCCTGGGGATTGCTCAAGATCAGTGGCACAGGACAGGTTGGAACTGTGCAGACTGAATCAGGCCCTTTTATCAGAAGCGAGTGAGTGCTGAAGGCAGTCTAGTCTATACATAATTGCTCCTTCACTGCCCTAGTATCTTCTCCTGTGCACAGCCAAAAAGTCACCCCTACCTTTTAGAGAGCAAGAGCTACAACTTATTGGTGGCAAGTGGGGAGGAGGGAGGTAAGATACACGTTTATTTTTAGCAAAACTGCTTTCTGAGAACGCTATATGAAAAGTGAAAGTCTTTGGGAGTGGAGGTTGGATAATGTTTGCTTTTCCTTTTGCTTGTAAATCAGACAAATGCAGACAGCAGAGAGAAGGAAGAGTGTGTACTGCAAATCAAATCTCTTACCTACAAAGATATTATGATGTAGAAAATGGCCCCTTAATTTAATTAAGCTCTCTTGTTATCAAATTATTACCCGCATGGTCAGCAAGGCCTTAGACAGAAGCAGAACATAATCAAGCTGCTCAGGAAGCCTGTTAAGTAGTAATTGCTCCTCCAGAGAATCGATCAACGTCAAGATGGCTTTTTTGTTGTTGTTGAATAGTTCCGGGAAGAGACTTTGTCTAGTTTGTGTATCCACATGGCTCTTGCTTGGTGGTGGTGAGGGGTACAGTCTGCAAGATTTATGCAGTGTTGTTGGTAAATTAATCTACAAAGTGTTCGCATAAAGTACTTTTTGAAATAAATGTTGCCTCTAATGCTACTAACACGTTTATTGACCCAAGTGAAAAGGTAAGTAAGCTGTTGAATTTGTGCTCTGCCTTTGTTGCATTATTCATTTGTGTTGGGCCACAAAATACCCTGATCAGTGCTAGTCGTTTCCTTGTGATTAATTTCTAAGACTGAAACTCAGTCATAACCCTAACAATGTGGAATTTTTTTTTTTAATGCTGTACACATCATGTGGGATAAGAGAGCCAAAATGTTTGCAAAGAGAGTGATTTAATGTGTTGTTTGTTTTTTTTTAAATTGTTTGTAACAGTTTAATAATGAAGTGCAGTGTGAAACAGAGTCCCCAGTGTTTGTTGGGAAGGGTGTGAGTATAGTGTCAGTGTCACAGGCATCGGCAACAGCCCCTGGTCTGCTTTCCCAGCCCCCAGCAATTAGCAGCGCGGAGTCTTCCGGAGCCAGAAGCTGCTGCTTGCGTACGTTGGCTCAGCAACGCCAAGGCCCCAGCCCCCAAGGCCATGGAAAATTCCGCTCTACAATTCTGGACTCTGCAACAGCAAGTACCACAATTTGTAAACTGAACCGAGGAAAACAAAAAGGGGATCTGTTTTAAAGCTGCTGCTTGCTGGTCCACTGAGGCAGCTATTTTTGGGCTGCATCTCATGTGGGGAGTGCCTGTCTATGTGTACGTGTGTCTTCTAACATAAGCATTGGGCACACTGAGGTAATTCATACTCTGGAGTTGCTTTGCAGTCGGGTGGGTGCACCTATGCCAAACAAGCCACATCCCACTGAGTGTCAGAGAATGCTTGAAGTAAAAGACTAGCGTGTTCCTTGTCATTTCCATGCTGTTACTTGTATTTGCAGGCCTTGCTGTTGACATGCATGTGGCTAGTTCAAGATTTATTTGTTGCTGCCTGTGCTAGAGGAATCCCAGTGAATGTCTTGGCCAGACACTGGACTTGAGTGTGACTGAGGGATAGGTAACCACAAAAGTGTGGTGCAGGCTACGCAGGCCCTGTAGGAACCCTTCTCTGGCTGCCTGAGAGCCATGTGGTTTCCAAAGGGGTACTGAGGACATGTGGCAAAGCCTGGTAGAGCAGCTGGGGCCAAAAGGAGCCTGCTAGTTTACTCTGTTTCAGTTTGGTGCTTTGTGAATTACGTGTCATTGGGTTTTTGTCTTCAAGAGGTATCTAATCCTACGCAGTAAAAAAGTTACTGCTTCCCCTTTGGAGCGGTTATCTTCCTCTTGTACAGTGTTCAAGGATGTGAGAAAATTAGGCCATGGCCCTTGTAGGTTCCTGTTGAGGTGAATGTGGCGGAGCTAGAAACAGGAATTCCTCAGCTTTTAGCAGAAAGATGAAAGCAGGACAGACCTTTCCAGCAGAATTATAATGGTGCAAGTTTTAGCCATGGTAGGAAATGCTAATAGCAAAGTGTTAGTTTTACATTTTCTTTTAGTAAAGTGATGCTCTGATATTGGGGGAAAGGACTTTAAAAAATAGCAGAGGCTCCCTGTGGAAGCTTTTCAAAGCACAGGTTCAGCTGCACCCAGTCTGTGACAGGAATAGATCCAGCACATTGATGGAATTATCAGGCAACAGCGACAGACAGGGAATAATGGCTATCCCGCCCCCGAGCTTCTCAGGAAGGTAAAAAGAAGTAATTGCATTTCCCATTAAAACTAAACAGAAAGAAAAATGGTAACAGCTCATCAAATAGAAGGACCAGGGCAAATCCTACCCTGCCCCAGCACTTGTTTGCTGATTCAGACCACAAGCAGGGACTTCTTTTTTTCCCATAATTTATTTCATGGTTAATGCCTTTCAGCACTGTTTGTCTGCTAGGAAGGTCCCCAAACAAACAGTAGGAATGCAAGTGCAGAGAGGGATGAGGGGAACTGCATCAGGAGCAGGACCACTCAGGGGCATGCCACTCTTCCAGGAGCACGTTTCTTTCGTGTTCCAGGAGCTATTCCAGAGGCTGATGTACCTCTATCAACCCAGGGCAGCTCACGTTTAGTGTCTCTTGCCACAGACCCTAGAAAGGGGCAGGCTCCAGTTTTTCCATCAAGGATTTGATCCAGGTGGTCCCGTTGATCAGTTTCGTGGTGGCAATGACATACTCTGTGCCTCCATCTTCCATCTGAGAGAGAAATCTGAGTGCCGCTATTTCTGCGTACGTCACGCCTCCCAGGAAGAACACCAGTGTGACTCGGTTCTCACCGTGCTGACCTGCGTGTTCAGAGAAACATACAGGTTGGCTTAGTTTTATTTTAACATCTCCTATCCATCACCTCTCAGGCAAACTCAATGTCCTAAACCTAAAATAAATGTAGCTGGTTTAGAGGAGAAACCTGTTGAGCACAGAACCAGCCTGGGGCCCAGAGGTGCAGACTCCACTGCCAGCTGAGCAGTCTCTACAGAGTTTGCTTAGTACTAGGAGAGTGATGCTGACCTTTGTTGTAAGGTAATGGTACTTATTAAAATCATGGTGAAAGGGTGGGGATTATGTTAGTACACCGATGAGAAGTTGAAGAAATGTACAACTCCACAGTATTTTCAATACAAATGATGCTGTTCATTAATAGCAGGCTGAATATGTGACTGGAAGCTTTAAGGATGTCCAAAAGCTATCTGTCAAGAATAGGGAGATCTAATACTGTAGGGAGATGGGGAGAGGAGACAGATGCCTGCATTCTGCCAGCCTTCATTTCTGTTTGCCTCATTCCAACCTAGCAGACATGCACGTCCCTTTAAAAAATGGGAAAATGAAACAAAACTTACGCTTTTTCTGAAGGCCAGTAGGTAACTGCTGCCTCTCCTCAAAATGGGGACCCGGCAGCATCTTTAATACCTCCTCTATGCTGCGCCACCCAGGCCGGGCTAGTAGCTGTGCCAGGCGCACGCTCAGCGGCGCGTAGCCACTGTACACATAGGAGATATCATTGGGGTTCTGCAAGAGAGCAGAGTGCGAGCAACAGGTGAGTGCTACTTCATGCTGGAAAGCAGCACAGCACCCTAACAATCAAACAAAACCATGAGGGCTTTCCTGCTGCACACAATCCCCTGCTGTTAAGTGTAATTGTCACTGCTGAAGCATCTGTTTACCTGTTCGTTAACGTCATCCATCCATAGGCGCAGGGTTTTCCTGATCGTTGGGTAGTTATTCCTACCACTTGTCTGAGGCTTCAGGAGTCCAGCCTTCTCTAAGTTGTTTAAGGTCAATATGTGTTCGTATCCGTACGTCTGCAATAGAAGAATTCACCTTAAATGCCATGCCAATAATCCATGGCCAGATTGTAAACGTTATTATAAAAAATGTTTTGGTTAAGATATCTACAGTGTAACCCATTTAGAGTGTTTAAACCATGATAGCAAAAACTGTAATGAGATAAACTTCTGTACCTTCACGTTGTGTACAGACATGTGCACCACCTGCATCCCAGCTGTCAGCCCAAACACAAGCCTCTGCCCTCCACACACACCTAAGTCATGCTAAGACTACGCCATATAAGATGCATCCATCCAGAATGCTGTAAAGTGGAGGCTTTGAGAGATTTTCTAAGAAATTTATCAATCCAAAAGCTACAGACCAACCTGCAGAATCTCTCTTTTATAATGGTCCAGAACCTTCTGCTTCAGCCCACTATTGCACACAGATTGCAAGCAAACGAGACGTAGGATCTTGATTAATGGATGTTTTTGGGCAATGCAGTCTTCAATATAATTATTAACCTATTAAAAGAAATATATAAGCTGTTAGTCAAAGCCCTGCTAAAGTACCTAGCAGACATGGAAAGAACGATCTAGTTTTGCCTAGTGTCTGCAAAATGGCAAGAAAGGGGATGCAGCTGCTGCCCAGGCAGCTCCAAGCCAGCTGTAAATCAGTGATCCCGCACGGGTTCTACCTAGCGCCTCTCTAAAGCACCTCGATTCCACTCATCCCTCACAGGACACGGTGCCCCTACACAAGTGAAAGCAATCCACCTGCAGTCAGCTGAGCTGCAGGCAGCAACAGGTAAAAGCCTGGCAGAGCACTCAGTACAGTGGCACCTCTGCGTAAGCTCAGTGGTGCATGTCACTTGGAAACGACTTCTCTCACATGTGTCTCCATGCGTGTCTGCAGCTCACAGCTTCGACACTGAATGGAGATAGACATCATCCAGACCACGTATTGCTCAAACAAACAAACAAAAAATGTCCAAAAAACAAACCACCACCAAACACAAATGCAAAAAAAAAAAAGCACACACAGAAATATACATATATATATATTTTGAAGAGTTATTAGTCGTCGTTACCTACTCACCTTGTCTGTGTCTATTCCGGACATGAATTCCTGTTCCACTGTTAAATTATCAAAGAAATCCTCAGATGCTTCAGGAAAAGAATGAAAATCGACGTATTAGCAACTGACTGTATTTTCTGCATTTAAACA